TGAAGTTCCCGGAGGAGGTTCTTTCACCTCTCCCTGACCCGTGCTGGAGCTCTTAGGAGAGCTAGGATCAGTGTAAGAAGTGTTAGAAGAAGAAGGTAAATTGCAATTGAAACATTTGTCTGCCATCTTGGTTTTTGATACCACCCTATCCACAATGCATTGCGCTCCTCGCGGTATGCAAATTTACAGAGGGAGTCGAGAATTAAAGGGTCTTCGTACCGACTGTTTTTTGTTCCTTGAGCTTAAAAAAAAATTTTTTTTCATAAATACCAAATTATTCCATTTGAGAAATTTCGAATTTATTTCAATGTGCAGGCTATATGCAATAGTTACAAGCCCCACATCAGGACATTTCCAAGAACAGATCGAGTTGTAACTCGGCGTCTTCCAGAAAACAATGAAGTGCGATCGCTTCTTTTGAAACTTGAAAGTCATTGTCATACGCAAGAAAAAAAAGAACTTTAGTTGTCTTGAAAATCTGGGACGACGTCAGTCGGTATATCGGATAAAACAGACCTTCCAGACTCACTTTAACTGTCCTCATTTCGTTAACTTAAACGAAATTGAATTAATTTCCAAGAAATAGTGATGAACGATGTGTACGAAACAGCTTCCCCGCTTTACCGTGTTCAAGGAACTAACTAGTTATATTATTTATTTTCTTTTTTACATATCGTTTTTGACTTTACTTGTGTATTTCTTAATGCAGTTCCCTATTGTAAATCACTAATGTGACATAGGTTTACTGTCGAAAGAAATAAATATCATTACTAGTTTTTCCTTCGTTTCGCACATCTAACTGGGTAGGGAGTTTTGGTCCTACATAAAGGGCTTGTAAAATCGAAAAAAAGGACGCTGTTCATTTTTTTTTTTTTTTTTTTCCTTTTTGTTTGTGCTCAGGAGTCTTTACTCGTAATTTCTTTTTCTAGCAGTTTTTTTACAATAGGAATAAATTTTCAGCTAGACTGATGTGTGAAGAGAGATATAACCAGCACCTGATCGTGAGATAATAGTGAGCCGTTTCGCTCGAAAAGTTTCTCAAAATTAATTATTCCATCTTTACCATATGAAATAGGTTAGTAAACTAATGGTTAAGGTATATACGTAGTTCAGACATTTCGTAAAGGAAGTATCTGACGATATGAAGTCCCCAAATAAATCAAATGTAACTTACCAGACTTATGCCTGAGTCAGTTCTTAACTTCTTTAAACAATCTGTTGAATAGTGAATGAAAATACCGKGCGTCGCTTAAAAATCATTTTTCTGGCAAAGTCTTCTAAACATTTTTATAATTACGTCAATCGCACCCCAGTGGTATGGCAGCATACATATGGGGTTTAGTGGTAGTTACATAGCATCGTTCTCGCAACCGCATTTTCTTATCATTTATTCAAATTCACTGGTTTCTCGACCAAGCTTGAAAATAGCCAATTGGTTGGCCTCCTTGCCAGTTGTGATTCTCAAAATAGTCTTTATGTATAGACACTGAAAATAAACAGTAATATAATAATGTGTTGTGGCCAGCCTTTCAAAGGTCTTAGTATGGTTTTAGCTATTCCTTCACTTAAATAAACACCAGTGCTGTGGCCAGTTTATGGTTATTATACATTGTTTCCCGTAGTCACTAGTCACTAGTCATATCCAAAAAAGATAATTTATTAACGAAGTTCTTCACAAATAACATTAATATTTCATCAATATCAAAGATACTAATAATAGCCTTATTCAACAACGATTCCCGGAATTAGCTGATTGATGCCGGACCATTGCAAGTAGAGTTTTAAGCTGGTTCTCTCCTGTGCTTCGGTACACTTTTCTCCGGGCTCTGTTTTCCTCCCTCCAACAAAAAAATCAACTTCTAAATTCTAATTTGATCATAAGAGCTAGCTACCCTCGTAAAACTAGGACGTCTTTTTTTTTTTTTTTCTTCCTTTCTTTTTTTTTTTTTTTAATTCAACTTTTAATTCATCATTCTGGTATAGTCCTCTATTTGGCTCCTAGTTGTAATCTCCTAGTTCTATCTTGGCCTGCAAGGTTGCATTTTTGGAGAAGTTTCATTTTCAAGAAGTAAACATTTTAGAATTTAAAAATAGGTTCGGTTATTGTCAGCAAGAGTCCGCATCATATCATTATCTATCTTCTTACATGTCTAATATTAGGTTTGCAGAAAATAACCCTTTGAATTACATTCATATTGCCTTAAATAAACTAGTTCTACAGATCACAAGAGGTATTTTATTCGAGAAATTCCCCTAAATCTACTAACAAAATATCAAAAACAGAATAGCATCATCAGCACAAATTAGAGGCGCAGCTGCGCAGCGGTTACACTTTAATAATAAGAATTTCGATTCTAGAAATTGAACAGGCTGAGACTTTAATATAATCAATAAAAAATAACACCAATGAATCGAACGTTGTGTGTCTACCGTGACGAAAGGTTACTCGGACAAAATGAACTTTGGTAAACAAAAGATCGGGCAAAAGATCTAATGAGTTCTAGAAAATAATGTAGAATTTGCATTTTGTCCATTTTCCCGCGCGTGTTC